CAAGTCCTTTGAACTTCACCACTGCTTGCTCATCGTTGCCAAATTTGTTATTAGTGCTGCCAACTTCACTACTCCAGCCCTTAAATTCTTCATATCTCCCACTTTATCTTTACTGGCAATCAGTAGCCTATTTATAAAATATTTATTTGTATTAAAAATTAAGAAAGATTACAACAAAGAACAATATGTGTTTCTCAAAGGAATTAACAACACTTTCATTTCTAGTGCATTCAATAATAACGTTTTGTATGATCACTAATAACCATGTAGTTAAAAAGTGACCTAAAATAAATGTTTTATGACTCCAATGGCATTTCCTTCACTTAGTTCTCAATATTTTTTTAAAATAATACATTGAGTCACTTTTAAGGCTAGTTTGAACAAAGCATCCCTTGTACAAATTTTCTTTGAGGACAGTTTTAAGAAGATAACTTTTACTTTAGTTATTGAATCTACACATTAACTTCACTCACATCTTTTCTCACAAGGAAAATATTCAAATTTATTATCTGTATTAGTTAGAACTCTTTAATTAGTTGTTAAGTCTCAAATTGATTACTGTATTTAATGCAAAGATTTTCAGTAAATTTTTGATGGTGTTTTTTCTCCTCAATTGTCATTGTGACATTGCAGTGATAAGATAATAGAATTTTGTTGAAGACATTGTTTTTCTATTTTGAACCCATTTTTATTCTAGAATATATTTTCAGTAGGAATCAACATTCTTTACTAACTATGATTCATTTTATGATATCACACAGAACTTACAGAGCAATTATCTGCTTTTTTATTTATATCTTTTGCGTAAAAAAATGCAAGGCTTCATGGTAAAATTTCATTTGAGTGATATTGATGTATATGACCTGTCTTAGTGGCTGTCATTAAGAATTTTTTTCCCATTCTTAGTTCTAAATCTTAATATATGGTAATTTAGAGTAAATATTTTCAAGTAAAATAGTTTTGTTTTTTGGTTCTGAAACTCAAAAATAAATTTAATAGGCCAACTGTTCAACCAAATTTCCTATGGATCTTTATATACAAAGAAACTAGTGGTGAAAAAACACATACTGTCTCGCCCGTATTCTCATAAAAATTACGTGAAAAGTCACTCAAATTTTCGAAAAATTGTACATGAACTTCTTTCAAAATCTATCTTCACAAAACAGATTTCACACTTTTCAATTTTTCGATGTGAAGGACCCACAAATCATGGATTCTAGCTACACCACGTTTTAGAGGATATTTTTTTCTAAATTTAGCAAATGGATTTATCAGATTTTTCGTTATCAGGGCCCTGTAATAAGTATTTTTTCGGCCGAAAATCGCCGGTTTCACACGCAGCATAACATAACTTTCTCTCTACTCCGTAGCGAGAAAGTAAAAAGGGGGAAAACTACTACTCAACAATTCATTTTACTGAATTTCATTATAAATTCAACAATCAGTTCCCTTATATGTCATCAAACATGGCACAACGGAACCAATGGTGGCTCCGGCAGGATTCTTAAGAGGAAAGAAGTCACGCCAATTGAAACACCACAAAGAAGATTACATTCAGATGCAAACGAAAGTTGTTACCTTTGAGGTATTGTTACTGACAGAAGAACACTTCTAGTAGCTCTCGTAAGGCTATATCAATGTGATATTCCTTTTTAATAAAAATTGTTAACTTAAGCTAACAATCAAGATGTTCCCGTGATTTTTCCGGCCTCTGAATTCCACTACCTAAATTTTTAATATCACTAAAAAAATCTAATAATTCCAGGAAAGAAACTCGGAACAGTTTACAGGCACCCGTTTTCTTGAGACCCGGAATACCTATCCCCTTTCATTTGCTGACATTAATTGAACTAGTGCTGCTATAACAGCCCGTACTTTCACGCGAAATTTTGCGTAAAGTATTCAAATTTTCGAAACAATGTACAGGACCTTATTTCAAAATCTATCTTTGAGGAAGAGATTTCGTTAAGAAAAAATGCTGAAAAAGTGTTGAATTTTTGCAATTTTCGGAAAATCAGAGATTTTAACGAACTTGAGACCTGCACCATTCTCTTAAACGTCCTTCACACTGTCCACTAACAAAAGTTGATCAAAATCGATGGTCAACCGCGAACATATGGTTGGCCGCGAAGGGCCTACCAGCAGCGCCCGGGCCTCGCGACTGTGGATTAAGGGGGACGTGTGGTTAGCACGAAGACGTCCCTACAACATAATTTGATCTTCTCAACCTGAGAAGAGAGTTTTCTCATCGACACATAGCAACATATACTGAGACATTGCAAGGAAAACGCTCACTATAATCTTGCCCGACCGGGAATCGAACACGGGGTCGCGTAGAAACGCTGACCAATAAGTTAAACCACGAGAGCTTATGTACAGTACCAACCCCCACAAATAAAATATGTTTCAAATTCAAGGGGCCGCGACATCAGCCAAATCGATGAAGGATTCTGGAGAAAATCGGCTGAAGCCGCTGGCGTTGTTCACAGTCGGACAGGCATGTGAAGGGAACACAAGACGAATACGCTTTCTCTATGCAAACTCTCTTCATTGACTGAGTATCAAAATGCTTTGTTTAATTATTGCACTGTTTTCGCCTTGGGATTGGAAAAGGGAGAAAGAGACGTATCGGTTCGATTTGCCTTATCACCTTGGTTTCCGCCAACCCATGGTACTGCCACGGTAGTGAGATTACAGTGTCACTTCCTTCTTTCTGGCCCACGATTCATGTTCATGAGGGTGCTTAGCAGACGCTGGACGCTGAGGTTCAATTTATTCCAATAGATGGAATGCTACAGAAGGATCGCCTCCCCTCACGCGTATAGCTTCATTAAAAAACGATTCATCTTCTTACCATCACAGCGCTGTGTTTTATATGCTATTTATTACACGAGAGGAGGAAACGTTGCAATTTCTCCTCCAAGTGATTTCAAGTGTTCGCGTCGCCTAAAAAACGCGCGCAGTTTAGAAACTCGATCAAGAAAATTTTCATTGATTATTAACTAAACAGTATCCCCTTTCCTTGTTACATTAAAGAAAAGATTGTGTTTGGAAAGTACATTAAAAAGAATAAAATTGCGAGGATGACATTCCTCCCTTTCCTCTCCTGAGAACCTGTCACCGAATGAAACAGTATTAAACAAATTATAAAGATGTTCTGCAAAAGTGGGATATAAATTTTATTAAACACATTGTTAAGCCTTTTTTCCACAGATGTCTCCAACAATTGTGGAACCATATAACGCCATCCTTACAACCCATGGATGTATCAATTATGAAGATTGCTCATTTTTATTGGACAATGAAGCCTGTTACAACATGCTAAAAAATTTAAATGTTCATGCGCCAACATATACAAATGTTAATCGTCTTATTGCACAGGCAAATAATTTTCCATATTTTCCAATTGTTTGAGTGTATAGTATAGGTACAAACACAATTCACGTTTACTGTATTAAGTAGTTTAGCGTGGTGTCTCCAGCGAGTCTTTTCATGTCAATAATTTTTATTTATCCTGTGCAAGTTCATCATAATAGTAGTTTATGCAATTAGTGAATAATGTTATGGCGCGTTTACACGGAGAGAGTTTTCTCTCCTAACTTTCCGCAAGCTATATTGCATGAGTACGTGCTTTGAAAAAGAGCGGCGTTAGGAGCGAGTTTTCAAATGTGCGCGAATGCAATAAAGCAACAATATAAACCAGTTGCATACGCTATTTTTTGTATAATATCATTATAATGGTTTTAAGAGAATCAAACTTAATTTTGCGAAACAACTTTCTTGAGGTGTTTTGGGTATTTGACGTCTGTACGAGAAAAAACTCTACCTCCTCATTATTGTCTCGCTGTGATTGGCTGAATATGTATTGACGCAATCTTTCTTGCCATAATATATAATACATCATCATTTGTGCCGTAAAATGCCCAATTATGAACGATTTCTTGTAACAGAAAAGGTCGTTTTTTATGCTGATATACAAAATTAAATTTTGATCATACTAATTGCCCGGCTCGTCCAGACTTCACGCGAATGAGCGACTGATCACCTCGGTCGGTCCCGTAAGTCACCCAAAACGCGTGCTTAATTGCTTAAAGAAACCCAAAACAACTTTTTTGAGACATTTCTTGGTATCTCGTGGATAGATGGATAAAAAAAGAAAAGAAGAATCAGTTTCCCACCAAGAGAGCGAAGAGTCAAATTCTTGTCTCGAGGGTGGGTTCGATGGGTGGGATGGGTGCCAGATGTAAGAACGCACGCAGACGAACAGTTAATAACAGTATAATATATGCTGTGGTAATAAAAACCAGTATCTTAAGAAATGACTTGTTTTGAGCTCTGAACAAGAATTTCTGAACTTGTCCAAAACGAAAGAGACAAATTACGTAATTTATTTCTAACAAAATCCCAGTTTTAATTTTAACGCTTTAAAAATTAACGGCCAGTCTTTATTTTAATACGAGTTTAGAATTTTAGGTAATATATTTTTTCTTTAATAGCCAATTGTTTCATATTTCATTGCTTTCTTAGGTGATCTCAGCTGCCACGATTACCTTTCGATTTGAAGGACCGCAGAATACATCAGTATCAGAATTCCAAACGAATTTACTTCCTTATCCAAGAATTCATTTCCCTGTAATGTCATATGCTCCACTTATTGGAAAAAGTAAAAGTTCCCATGAAATGGTATCAACGAGTCAACTTGCTGCTGATTGCTTTCGTCCTTCCAATCAGATGGTGAAATGTGATATTAGAAAAGGAAAATTTTTATCATGCTGCATGTATTTCCGTGGAGATATTGGCCCCACAGACGTTAATAATTCCATACAACAGATTAGATCTGACAGATCAGTCAGATTTGTTGAATGGAGTCCCACAGGATTTAAAGTGAGTATTTACCAAATCTCCAAAATTTAATTTATGCACAGAAATGTACATATATCAACTATTTAAATTTTGCTGCAGACGGCGATTAGTAATCAGCCCCCAATTTGTGTACCTGGAGGAGATATGGCGCCGACTGCCCGGGCTGCATGTATGTTGTGTAACAACACAATAATTAAAGAAGCTTGGTCACGCTTGCTAAAAAAATATAAAATACTGTACAAGAAACGAGCTTTCGTACATCATTATGTTGGGGAAGGTATGGAAGAATCCGAATTTCAAGACGCTGCGGAAAACGTTGCTGCCCTAATACAAGAATATATAGAAGTGGAATCCTGACAAAACTAGAGAGAACATAAACGATTCTTTGATACAAAATGTTGAATTCTAAATTATTAATAAAGATTAATGTGAATGCATATGACTACACTCTTGGCTATTGATTGATTGCCGCGCGTGCTTACCAATTTCAGACTTTTGAGCAGAGTATTTTTATGTAAGTTCCCGACGCGATAGCGTTTTATACTGCGACACGAGCGGACCCAACCAGGAACGTCTGGACTCTCCACAAGAATATTGACAAGCGATTTGGGTAGTGCAAGTGGACAGTTGCGAAGCGCTCTGTGGCGCTCTGGGCAGCTGTGGGGTGCGTGCGAGTATTCTTGTTAGGCGACGTCTCAGAAGAAAGAATAGAAAACGGTAGGAATTTGCTATACCGTTTAGTGTTCATCTCAAGGTTAAGTTCAGGCGAGGAAGAACATTTAAATTCGCCTGTGTGTTGAGTGATGCCAACGCCTTCCTTTTGTTAAAAGGCATCCGTTCGACTTGGGTTGTCTTTCAAATAAACGTGGGTGGTGCCATCTTGGCGCCACAAGTCTATTTATTCAGCAATACATTACGTCACTCCTTAATTGACATCCTTGGGAGATGCATCGCGCGGAAGACTGTGTGGATATAGTACAAGTTGACAAATTAAATAGTTTGAATGTGAAGAAAGGAAGTGGCAATAACATGGTCGATGTTCGAGCATGCAATAAACCGGTAGAAAGGGTGAGTTAAAAATAATGAGGGTGTTTTAAATTGTATTATTTATATTTAAGAAAAATATTATGTTGTGACATTATTGTTTGTCTCACTCGTACTTTTCGTTTTGTGAAATCGACCGAGCAATATTGATTGTTGAATGCTTGCATGCTACTCGTCAATGTACACCATTGCATGTCCTCACGGCTCGAGTATCGAACGAAGTTGAATCTTCGCCTCTTTGCATGTGTAATGACAGTTCTATCAGAATATAGCAAGACATCGTGAACTATTGTATTATATTGGCCCAGAGAATATTGGCATTATTTCTGATATTACGACATTGGTGCTGACATATTTTTGTTCGTTTATGAATGCTGATTTGCATTTCCCCCCCTTTTTTTTGTTTCTTTAATTTTTGCCCCAAATCTAGGAAAACAGAGGCAAAGGCAATTAAATAACATAAACTGTCTGCTATTATTTTAACGCATTTTTAATATTACTTGCAATTTATCCTGATTCAATTAGTAAAGTACCTGTCCCATCTCATCTGGATGAGCTGTTCATTAGACCGTTCCTTAAAGCTTGGCTGCTCAGCCTTTATCATCGTGGGAAGCTAACTGTGAAGCAGTGAAAGTCGGCAAATCTGTGACAAGTCTACCTATGTTAATTAGTTAATTGTACCAATGCAATGCAATCATCGTTTGTGATCTTTCTAGTTCAGGAAAGAAGACAAGGAACATGTTCATACAGTCCCTTTAAATAAAAGTACAAGTACAAGTAAAGGTAGTACTTTTTTGTGAAATCTGACATCGAGTTGTATTTTAATTTTGAGGGTAGATTGTCTGCTGCTCAGGTGTTGTATTCTGTTTTATTTATGTTCTTTGAATATATTTGTTCATACCTTAGAGATTTGTAATTATACCTTCTTGAGGTAACACTCTTCCCTTTCAATTTTTCATGACTATATACCTGTTCTGAGAAGTGCATTCTTAGAAAGTGAAGAATAAAGTTTCCTTCTGTGCCGACTTTCTTGAGAGCGTGGAGTTGTCTTGTACCAGATGCAAGGAACATTTTTCTTTTGCTAGTGAGCTTTTGATATGAAAAAGCCTTTTTGAGTTTATTTTAATTTAAAAATTAAAATTCTGCAGTAAATATTTTTTTCAGTCATGAAGGTTCTTGCTTACTTGTAATGATCTTTATAAAGAATTTTCTTATTATACTTTGTTTTAAAAAATTCTTCAAATAAGTCCTGCAGTAAAATATTTTTCATTTAAGTTTGTGAGACAGTGCAGTTGATGTTGAATGAGACTGTACCGTCCTTGTTGTGCTTTCCTGCCACTTAATAGATTCGAGGGGTCACAGTAATTGTTTCAGTACAAAGCGTGTAGTGGGGAGGGGAAGTGTGTGGGGAATTTTAAAGATTCCACAAACTTTTGTAGTTTTTTCTGGCAGATGATTTCTTGGCTGCTATAAAGGCAGACCTTACATTGTTGGTATACCTTGATGTTTATAATATTACTCGGCAACTTTCTTTTCCTGGTATGTGAATGAAACAGGGTTGTTTCAACTTTTCCTGATTTTTACACCCAAGGTTAGTTAACAAAAGTACTTTCCTTTGAACTAAAATAGAAATTAATAAGAACAATATACACATTGAAGTTGTTACATCTACCAAAAGTTATTTAGAAAAGTATTTGTGGGCAGTGTATTTAATAATTACTTTCAGGAAGAGAGTATGGTATGTTGTATCTGTTGATATACTGTTCCAATGCTTGCATGGCTGATTTTGAAAGTGGAGGCTTGCAGGCATTCTGGTCAGGAAGAAAAGAGATGGGAAGAGAGAGTCCTGGAGTGAGAAGGGTGGGAGAAATGGATTGTATTGGGAGGAGCAGAGGATAGTTGTACCAGGTTGGAGGACAGCAGTTGTCTGGGAGCAGGTTCCTGGGCAACTTGCAAACTGGCACTGTGCTGCCTCAGGCTGTAGGGAAGTGGAGCATGTGAGTAAAGTTAAGAAAGCTGTTGCACCAGGTCTGGTCATCCTCTTCCAGTGTTGTGGATCACTTCAGGTAGATGAGATATTTAAACTCCTGTTGGCAAGGTGAAGTTCTGTGCTGGTAGTGAAGTGCTGTAGGTGTGGGCTGCTGTGAGGAGCTTCCTGTGCTACACTTGGCTGCCTTCTGCAGAGAGTCGCCCAACCGTGTACAGTCAAGTTGCTTTCTGCTTGGAAGCTCTGCTTGCATTTTGTCAGGGTCACACACTACTCACATATTCTAGGGCTGGGATGCAAGGTTCTCTTCACTTTATCATAGCTGTCCATTTATGAAGCAAGTTGATATTATATTCTACCTTTTCTAGTGATAGCCTACAGTGGACATTTTAATAGTACTTCATGCAGACACCTACTTTGACCTCTTATTCACATGGTAGAAACGAGAATTGTATTATTGATGTTTTTTGTAGCTATTAGAATAAAAAGAATTACATTACAAGTACCACTAATTAGCATATAGGCCTAAATTTTGTTTTGTTATTGAAAATTATTTTTTATGATGTTGGCAATTTTATTTTTTAAAACACTTTTTCTTATTATTTAAATATACTTTTTCTTTTGTTGTTGCCTGGATATCTTCCTTCTTACTTTCAGTTGTGATTTCAATGTCCAGTGACTTAGCAATGTTGCTTTAAAGGAGAATCTCCATGTGGATTGGACCATGACAAACTCACAGGTAAGGAGATACTGTTGCATGTAGGACTGTAGTGATAACTGTAGTTTTTAGAAGTACATATAGTGTGTGTATTAAACAGATGTTGGGCTCTACTAAGTGTTCAAATTTTGTGTGAAGCATGCCTTTTAGCTTTTTTTGTTGATTGTTTACCAAAAGGGTGGAAAGGAAATATTTTGTAGCAAAATTTTGTAAACAGTAATCTATTTCTAATTGACCCTATTTGAAAGAAATTTTATGATCTTATGACTAAAAGGAAATTATGATTCTTCTGAAATAAAATTAATATAATATTGAATTAAACTTTTTTTTTTGTTAAATAAAACGAATAACAAATTATATTGAATCTAGATTTATTGATTGACCAATACTGAAAACCTTCAGTAGAATTTTTTTTCATGTGATGAATGTTCATTGTTTTGCAGTTTGTTTGATAGTCTATAAGAGATTCTTGATTTAAGTGGGAACACTGTGATGTTATAACTCATTCCTCTATGGTAATTCACTAGACATATTAGGTATCAAGTTTTGTTTACTTCCTTTGAAACAATGTTTAATGTATATGTAGAAAACTTACCATGCAATAGTGTGAGAAACTGATGTGCCAAATTATATTGGTGTTATCTTATTAAGGAATGATATCAGTAAAGATTAGATTGTAGATAAATTGTGTATGCTTGAATACATGTCTGGAAGAATTTCAGAATTGATATCATTTTGGTTGAATGTTAACATGGGTGAGATTGTCACCCCTGTTGATGGTGACAGGTTGCTCCTACCTTCTCAAGCTGGAAATGGAAAGGTAATAAATGTGTACTTGGTCAGAAAGGAGAGGACAATGAATTGAAATAACACCGTATTTGTGAAATGTTTGTACTAATTGCTGCATTATTATAAAGTATAAATTTGGTTCTCAAAATTTTTATTTGCTTTCTAAGAATATTGATTTTTGATAATGGAAAAGTAAATTGAACAGATCACAGTTTATTAAAAAAAAAAGTTTTGAAATGGTGGCATGTCTCTTCTAATTTTAGTTTTTACAGTAAAAAGCAAACAAACAAACAAAAAACTACTACTTTCTAAAAGGAAATCATGAGAGATGGAGAAGTTCAATATTGCATTTCAGAAGCATGGCTCTCTCTGAGCTTAATTAGTTGATTACTTTGAAATATGATTACTCAGTTTTTAGTGATTAAATACATACAAACACTTTGTATGTATAATTGTAGTATTAAAAAGATGTTTATTTAATTTCTTTTTGTCTCCAATAAGAAAAAAATTGTAGAAATATTAGGAATAAAGATAGACATTTCTTTCTCTGAAAAGATGTTTAAAGGAAATGCAAGTGGTAATATGATTTAGTTGATTATAAAATTTCAAATAATTGCTTGTTTGGCATATAATTGTCTTGTTTGTTTTTTTATGTATAATGTTGGTTAAATGAAAGAATAACTTTTGAATTCTACTTCCTTAAACAATTACTGCATTGCATGATTTATAAATTTGAACAGTTTATTGATCTTTTGTGATGATTAGGCAGTTTTTTTTTTGCTCTTTTAAAAATTTAACACAAATATCTCCATAGGAATAAATCATAAGAGGTTATGGGTTACATAATTAAAAAAAAAATTAATTCTCAAGTGACTTATGTTGCATTTTATTTGCGTCTACCATAACATTTTGTATATATTGAATTTAAATTATTATTTCTTCATTATTTTCATTAAATTTTAAGAGGGTAATAAAGGTTACAGACTTTTTAAAGGCAATTTTGGATCACTGTTTTATACTTGATTAACTTTTTCCAGCTCTGGTTTCGTGGTGTACGAAGTTCTAAATTTCGCCATGTGTATGGACTTCCTGCAAAACGTGAAGGCTGTTATGAAAACATTAAGATAACTAAAAATGCCCATGATGGACATTACTGTGCAGTAAATCCAAAGTTTGTGGCAGTGGTCACTGAAGTAGCTGGTGGTGGGACATTCTTGGTGCTCCCACTTCATAATGTAAGTTTTTGATAATGAATAGAATTCTTGGTCCAGATTACTTTAAAATTTATGGTTATTGTAATAATTTTTAGATTGATTTAGGATGAATTTTTTTAGTGTTCTTATGACGTTAAAAAGACTACAAAAGGGGTGCTTTGTAAAAATGTTTCTGACTTAAAAAATGCATTATTTTCATCTTCAGACAGGGAGGTTAGATTTCAATTCGAGCAGAGTAACAGGTCATCGTGGACCTGTATTGGATATTAAATGGAATCCTTTCAATGATAATATCATTGCATCATGTTCTGATGACTGTACAGTAAGTGACTTGAGATTGATTCTAAGAATTTCAGTATTGTAATTCTACAGTTGTAAATTGGTACTTAGAAAGCTGTTTTTTTCTTCATTATTCCTTTTTTTAAAATATTTTTGACATGTATATGTAATAGGTCAAATTATGGTATATACCTGATGGTGGTTTGGCCACTCATCTAACTGACTGGTTAATAGATTTGCATGGACACAAGAGAAGAGTTGGTTATATTGAATGGCACCCTTCTGCTGAGAATATATTGATCAGTGCAGGATTTGATCATCTGGTAAGTGATATTTAATTTTTATGATTACTGAAATCTTGTTGTGTGAAGCAGTTTACCGATATCATAACTTATTTTGTTATAAATAATGCAACTGTTAACTCTTAATTATTGCTCTAACTGGTGCTGATTTTGTATGTATTTTATTATTATTATTATTATTATTATTATTATTATTATTATTATTATTATTATTATTATTATTACTACACATAAAAACAAAATTGTCTGTCACTATTCATTCTTTAAATAAGAGTTTGGCCACAAACAACTTTTTGACACATATGAGTTTTCAAAAAAATTAGAAACAAAATATAATCATAAAGTGTATCTTTGAAACATTGTTTAATGAACTTTCTTTAATGGAGAATAAAACATTTAAGTGTATGATTATGTGATTCTGTGATTTTGTTTCTAAATGTGATTCTAAATTTTTGATATCAGGTCTGTTGAAAAATCTCTACTGTTAAACTCTTATGAAATATTATTATTATTATTATTATTATTATTATTATTATTATTATTATTATTATTATTATTGTTATTATTGTTATTATTGTTATTATTGTTATTATTATTATTATTGTTATTATTGTTATTATTATTATTATTGTTATTATTATTGTTGTTGAAGTTGTAGTTATAGTTGTTGACTGATATTTAAAAAAAGTGTTGAAGCTTTCAACTGCCATTTTATTAAAAATTCAGTATTTTTATTTTTATATTATATTGTAGAAAATGCACCGATGTAAATACTAGTAAGTATACAGGCACATTAAATTCCTAAATTTCACCATTTCATTCTAGCAATGTACTTGCTATGTCCATTTTTGTATTGGCATTGGGAGAGCATCTGAAGATATTTTATTAAATTAAGTTGTGTGTAACAGGGTTTTATTTTGACTCAGGGTACTGTTTGAATGAGAAAATACACTATTAAAAGCATCAAAGATTGATTTTGATCAATTTTCAAAAGCTAGTAGGTTTTTAAATTTTTGGTATTCAGTTTGAAAATGAGTTCATCTGGAATGAAGAAATTTTTTGTAGATCAGTAAGACACTGTATTTTAAATAGGCAATTGAAGAATCTGTGGCGGGTGACACAAAAAAAATTGATCATAAAATAACTTGGTATGCGACATTGATATTAAACTATGTAAATAGCAATTTTATATCATGACTGTTTTGAGTTGCTGTGTGTCAGTGTTTTTTTTTTATTTTGGGACAAAATTTGAGACGTTAATTGATGTTTAAAAAAAAATTATTGATTTAGAATAAGGTGTACAAAAAGATACTTGAATTTGTTCTCTCATTCAAATTATTTGCTTTTTCTTTGTAGACTCTTGTATTCTTCTCTTTTTTTGTATTTTTAAAATTATAAAAAAAATTTTAGGAAGAAGCACATTTAGTAAAAATTATTTATTTTTAGTGTATTGAAACTTTATTTAGTGGTAATATTAATAAATTCTTTCCAAGTTAAGTTTTGTTCTCTTTGCTTATAGATGATTGTTTGGGATGTTGGACATGGACAAGCAGTGAATGTTATAGACTGCCACCCTGATGTAATCTATTCTCTGTCCTTCAACCGCGATGGCTCTCTTGTTACCACAACCTGCAAAGATAAGAAGCTCAGAGTAATTGAACCTCGACGAGGGATTGTCTTGTCTGTAAGTCAATTGTCTGTCAAGTTTCTTTTTTACTTACGACCATAATTTTTATAAAGTAAATACAATGCATTTTTACTTCACTTTGTGCAAATATTCTGTCTTTTTGATATTGTTGGAATATTTTTTTCATTACAAAAAAAATTAATTACAAAAAGGATTAATGCAAAAGGTGATCTTGCTACACAAATTCACGCCATTAGGTAGAGAAACATTTTAAATAGAATGCTTATAAATTGTGTATTGGAAACCATAAAATAAAATAAAGACACTTTTCCTTACTTTAACATCCAGCATTTAAATACATTTTTCCATTTGCAATTTTGATGGAATCTGTGAAAACAGGCACAGGTACCACCACACCTGTTTTGTTTGCATTTTGTTGAAAAATTTTCTTGGAAATAATAAAAATACTTACAATGATCATCCAAAGTTGTTACAGTTTAATTTTTTTAAATGCTCAAGGAAATCGAGATATACCAAGCTTTCAGGTGATACTCATTGATGAACTGAATGGTTTTTCATAGTCATACAAAATGGGTGCCAAAGGACTACAATGTTATTAAGTTGCAGAAATGATAGGTTGAAAAAAGTGGAAATGCATTTTGTTGCTCTGCAACATTATTTCAGAGCGTTGTGTTATTATTTTGCACAATGTTCAAAATTGAATACTAAGAAATGAATAATCCAAGAGAAATACTGACTAAAGATGTATTTATTATGTGATTTTAAATACTCGGAGGGTATGTTCTGTGCACCACTACCATCGATTTCAACCACAAACACCAGCTGAAGTGGCTCAGGGCATCCCTTTAGGACCTCTGACTGGGAGATTCTAGGGTTCAAATCCTGACGGGCAGGATTTTCAACACCTGCTAGATAGATATGTTGATTTCAGATTCTGACAGAGAATTCTAGTGGCTTGTTGTTCTGATTTTCGTGTATTTCCATTCAACACTAGGCAAGTGCCGGGCAGTATCCTCACAAATGAGCCATGGACCACATACAATCTTTTCTCCTTCTTGCCCTATCCTCACCCCTCAACACTTAACATGCTCTACACTACCACACAAGTCATGAGACCAGTTGAAAGCTTAGAGCTTCTTCCAGATGGAACAGTGCCCTGCTGGTGGGAGATACTTGATTGGGAAAAACTGCAATTTTAAAAGGTAACTGCTCGTTTGAAAGGTCGGCCACCTGATCTCACCATCAAGCAAGGACAGATCCCAGGGATGCATGATGTGCATGCATTTGTCACCTGTGACCACCAATCAACCAACTGCAAAGGATTAGGAAAAACAATTTTGAATTGGCCAAGGAAGAGAAACATGACCAAAAAGGTCATGGATATGATCACAACATAGTACACTATATATACAAACACACGGTAATTTAATAACATTAATGAAATAACTAAAATAAATATTTTTAGGCGTATGTACCTCATTCTCTCATGCTCTCATTCTACCTAACAATTCTTGTTATACAATAAATAAATAAATTGAATGAATAAATAAATAATGTGACTATAAAGTTATATGTAGACTACACATCTTCACTGAAACAGCATTACTAAGCAAGGGTTTATTTTTGAAATGCACTTTCTTTTAAAGTAAAATTAAATGTAAACTTGAATATAATAAACTTTGGAAATAATTAACAGACTCTTCAAATAACATGCAGTGTTCCATAATTTTTAATAGCTTTGTTTACATAATTCAGTCTAAATTTAACAATCCTGATCACATGTACAAATGATCCTGTTTTCAGTCCTGCCACACACACAGCATTCGAGGAGTGAGGTTCATCTCTGAACTTGTGGGATTAAGAGTATCAGAGCTTTGTATAACAGTGTTATGTATTTGGCTGTTTCATAAATACCCTTGGAAACTGAATACTTCAAAAGGGCTGAAAACTAAGGCCTTAGCTTTGTTGATGTATTCAAGAATGAGCTTATGCTATTGATTTCATTGTCATTACTAAGCTGTGAATGTTTTTGTATATTTACCTATTTCTTCCTCTTCAACAGAAAATATAATCTTTTAGGTTTCTTATTCATTTTCAGGCATTAGGAGTATTATATGCCAATTTTATAGTATCTATCCTCACCACCACTACTACTATCACTACTACCAACACCACCACTACTACTATCACAACTACTACTACTACCACGCACACGCACGTCACACTACTCTCACAACTACCAAACACCACCACTACTACTATCACGAGTAACACCTACCACTACTATATCGCGAACTACACCAACCACTACTATCAATCACGACTACCACACAACTACTATCACGCTACCACCACTCTACTATCTACGAGCTACCACCACTTATCACTATCACTACTACCACCACTAATACTATAGACGACACGAACACTACTACTAAACGACTAACACTGCACCACTAACTACTGATAACACGACTAGTACACATCCATACCTACACATAGAACGGAATACCATCCAGCCACTACTACTATAAGACTAACCCACTACACTACTACTATATACACACACAACACCGCATCACTACAATATAACGACTACCACCACCACCACTACAACATTAAGACTACACCACACTACTACAACTATACGACTACACACCACCAACCAGCCACCTATACTAATCAGGACTAACCACCACCACACTACTATCAAACTACACACCACACTACAACCACCACCACCACCACCACTAGCTACCACACATCCTACTATCACAACTACCGACCGCCACCGCACCAACCCCCCACCACCGCCACCGCCACCGCCACCGCCACCGCCACCCCCACGACGCCAGCTGCCACCGGCTAACCACCGACCCGCCCACCACCCCACGCCACCGCACCGCATCGCCACCGACTACGCGACCGCGCCGCGACGGACCCACTACTACACATATGCTACCACTGGTACAACTACCCCCTTTTTTACTACGGGACTGTGGAGATCTTCGTAAGACCGCTCTCATTAGTATGGGATTCCATAAACCCTTTATTGTTCTTGATTGTTCCCACCTGTGACCGCTTTCGCATTACTTTAGGGTGGAGTCAAGCTGGCTACCCAGTTTCATTAATTTACATAATTGCGTCTGTTCTTCTCTCTTTGGTCTTCTTTTTTAATCATAATATTCGTGGTATTCTCTTCGATTAGTTCCCAATTAGTCCGGGTCTTTGTCATCAATGTTATGTTGTTGTTATTAGGGTGTCGAGCTTTGTGGTGACATCTTCATTTGCCCATGTTGAGCAGTTTAAGAGTGTGTGTTCTGCGTCGTCGTTATTGTTGCCACAGTTGTCACAGTCGGCGTTGTCTGCTATTCTAATATTTTTCTGTATAATACTTGAAGGATCCAGGCTTATGTGAAATGGTAGGAAACAGCCGTGTTTTTTTTTAAATCCACTTTGAAAGGTTTGGTATTCGTACGACCTACTGCCTTTAACTTCTTTCTGTCAAGAATTTTCCCAGCTGTCCATAATTTTTTTCCGACCGTAATGGCTTCGCGTGTGACGTCTGCATGGTCTCCCTTCATTAGGTTGTATACCTCCTTGCGTTCCAGTGCTAACTAATGGGGAGCACACTAGTTAGCACCAACACTGTGCTTTTCGAGACCGTTATGTGGACCGAAATGATTCTCTGAGCCTTCATTTGAATTGCTTCCAATTACTTTTAATTATGATATTTATTCTAAGTTCATTTCAATATCACTCACTTTTTGCACTCATTTTGGGGAAATAAAAAAAAGAAAAGTCTTGGCAACTTTTTTGAGGAGTTGAGGCCCGCTTGGAAATTGGTTTCCAAAAAATGTTTCATCCAAAAATGTTAGGAAATATTTATTATCTTAATGAAACCTGGATTAATTAATGGCGCACAGCAAGTAAAGAATGGTATGACGCGTCGGTTAAAAGGAAAAGGGAAGCGATTCTTCAGACTGCTTTGGTCAGGTTTTCACCGCTACCTTGTGAGGTAACTTCCTAAATGTAAATCCTCTGATATTTAAGGAATCTATCTGCGAGATTTTTGCAGGTATTTTAGGCGTGTTAAACAAGTACTTTGTGAAAATATTGTTTTGGCAGTTCTTTGTGACACGTGCTGGTATTTGAGTATCATAACGTGAATGGCGTAGCCAACAGAACTACTGGACGGAACAAAACATACGAAGCTAGTTTACATGCCGAGTAAAGTTAAAACGAACTAACCTCTTTTTCTTAGTCCAAGAAAGTGTTCCATTATGTAGCACCATTATTAATGATATATTTTATTTTACCGCTGCAGGTAAGAGTTAAGCAAAAATGACAGCTGGTTGTTTGGGTGGGAGCCTGGGCTCAAGAATGCGGGAACTAAAACACTACTTTCGAACTGGTACATATGAAGGTAGGCGTGTGGTACATATTCTGAATTATGTTTGTGGCATAGGGGCATTCATAGTGTCTAGTGTATCATCTGTATACATCCAAAATTTCTTGTCGTGACTTGTACCTGCGTGAGTTTGTGTAATTTGTGAATCCGTTATTGAAGAGTCTACTTACCCTCAGAATTATGGTTCAAGATCCTTGATGAGACAAGAACTAAATACGGGCCGGCAGCAATGAGATGGGCCTAATGTCTAGCGTGATGCTTGGGCACGAAGCTTTTCACTGGGAATTGCTCAAGGGGAAACTGTAGTTACTGGGGAAAGCCATATGACTTTTAGGCGCCAATTGGCGGCTGGGAAGAGTGTGCGGTTAAATCGACGATGCAGCCCCGACACTAAAGAAATGGAAATAACTAGTACGAGAAAGTCTATTTCATAATTTTATACTCCGTATACTATACTAATATCAGTGAAAAGAAGAAACGATACAATTAATAATTGCAAATTATTTTATGTTGCACCTCATGCAGTGTACTCTAAATTCTAAGGTTCAAAACAGAAAAGGGATTGTACATATTTAAGGAAATGTTTTATTACGTAAGGCTATGCGAACCCCCTCGTACCTTTTCAGAAAGGGGGGGGGGGCATGGCATTCCTGCTCCCTCTCTGCGTTTCAATAGGACGATATTAGTTCTAAAAATATATTTCAAAGGTATTGAAATTGGTTGCACGAGTGTCACATTCATTTGAGCATATTCATAATTTTTATTGTTACAGGAAGGAATATGTCATGCAGGAACAAAAGCATGCAAGGCAGTTTTCCTTGGAAACACCGGGCGAATTTTGACCACCGGCTTTTCGCGTCATTCGGATCGCCAGTATGCTGTGTGGAGCCAGAGCGACTTGTCAGAGCCGCTTGTCATGGAAAGCATCGATTCTTCGTCTGGGGTACTTTTCCCCTATTACGACCATGATACCCGGATTGTTTATCTTGCTGGAAAGGTAGGTGTTACAACAATACTACTAATACTAATACTACTATGATGTATATAACTCCCTAGTGTGCGCTTACGTATGACTTGATGCATCCCTCTTGCATTTTGGGGGGTAGGGGATGGGTTGGAGTTTTGAAGTAGTCATTAGGTTACCATTCTAATTTTCTGGGCGATTATGTCCATTGTGTACCGTTCCCATCGTATGTTTTTACGACAAGCTGGATTTCGTTTTACCTAGACGGATAGAGCCCTATATGCATGTAGTCGGTGGCACCGCAAAAAAATAAAAAAAATCATTCAAGTTCTTAGCCTGAAACATTCACATCAACAGAACTGAAAGCATTAAACATTGCGTGCAGCTCGTCAAGATGTGTTGGTTCTCGCCATGACAGGGAAAGCAAGGACGACTCTCGTGTACTGTGCTTCTATATGTAATTAATATAATTTGTTCTTTTATCATCTCTTTGCTCATGATGAAGTCTCATTTCAATGATCTCTGTGTACTGTTTCTTCATATACGACGGAAGTGTCCGAGTGTTCGTCTCATGGGAGTGCAGTTCTCGCCAGTGTCATACAGGATTATTTCGGAATCCTCCAAGTTGTGCAAGAAAAGAATGGCCATTCTCTTCGAAGCGCTCACCGAAGAGCAGCTGGATAATATCCAAAAAATTAAGCGGATTTCCGCCCTCCACCTGATGTGATTACTCGCCCTTCCGTTCACCTTCGTAAGGGTGTAGTCAACCATCATGACTTTACGTTTGAAACTGAAGAGGAACTTCTCTTTCTCTTAACGGTCAGGATGTGAGGGCAGTGTTCAAGATCTAGAGGAAACAGTAAAGGAGAGATTCCCACTCATATGATCTGACGTTCCTATTCCTCCCAGAAAGGATCTGTTGCGGATTTTACAATATTCGCGTGCGGCAGTATGTACCTAACCCTTTGTGATATTTTAAATCCTAAAGGTTCGGCAATACCGAAAAAATGCGTGGCAGAAATTCCGGCAAGCGTAAAGTGCGGCAAGTCAATGCAAGATCCAGAACCCTGCGAGTAGAGCGAAATGGCAGATTCTGCAGCGGATATTTTCATTTGGGCCGGATGTTGACGTCTAGTGTAAACATGGGCGTCACAAGGTCGTCAGCTGTGGCCCTCCTCATGGTGCTGATGGTCCCCTCCCCCGCCCTATCTACCAACCTAAGAAGAAAACTTTTTTATGGTGACGGAGGGGTAATGGGAATATTGTTATACCTCAAAACTGCTTTTTAATTGAACGTTTTGCCTTGCATATTCTACTATATAATACAATTTTAAAATAAATAAATCGGACGACTTGGGAAGGTCGGAGGAGCAGGGGTGGAGTCCCTGCCTGGCGGTGATGTAGAGGTAAATAAGTTTAAAATTGCTGGAAATCAGTACATTCTTTTCAAATATGAATACACATGAAATCATAAAATTGACATAAATCTTCCTATTCCTTTGGTTTCCGTGGCTCCTTTTTCTCCTTTTCTTTCCTTTACACATTTCCGAAACGGATTGAGAGTCTTCTACGCCATCAGGAGTCAGCTGCGCGTCACCGGCGCGGAGACGGTTCCTCCGCTTGGGCAGGCGGCTCAGTGTTCGCCGCGAGTCCGCCGGGAGCGGGCGTCTAGTCATATATAACACTCCCTCCTCCGGACATTCCTTCCTACATCTTAACCATCTTCCCTTTCTGCTGTCGGTCGGTCGATCGGTCGGTTGGTGCGTCTGCCCGTCCGTTTTATTAAATCATTAATAGGGATGTAAGAATAATTATTTGAATAAATACAATGCTTTATTTATTTACGTCGTATTATTATATCATTGTACTTTATTCGTAATTTTTTCGTCCTTTTTATTGTAAAAATATCGGTTACCTTAGAGTACATTGTTTTCCTGAATGAAATTGTTAATTCTAGTCGGATCTTGAAATATGATTATGTACAATTTAACGAAAATGATTAGTATGCGTGTAATTTTGCGTGAAATGTAGAAAATAAAAAAAAATAAAAAAAATCGCTCATCGAAATACAATAAAACAGTGTTGCAAATTTCATTTCCGGCAAACTTTCTAAACTTCTGAAAATTGCAAAAAAGTTAACATTTCAAAACTGTTAAATTGAAGATAGAGATTTTTGCTTTAAACCTAAAATGTTTTAAAAAACAGCCAATTAAAGAAGTCCATGTACTAAAAAAGTGGGTACTTTTTAACTCTTTGAATTTTCGAAAATTGCCAATTTAGGAGTATTGCGAGAAAGAATGCGCCTTTGTTGCCTCACTAGTTTAATTATTAGGTAATTACATATTTTGATCATATTTACAACTTATCTTACTGCAGAAATCCTGTTGATGTTGTGATCCTTTTGTTTTCTTTCCAGGGTGATGGTAATATAAGGTACTATGAAGTAGTGGACCAAGCCCCTTGGCTGCACTACTTGAATCAGTTTCTCTCTGGATCCCCACAGAGAGGTCTAGGCTTTATTCCCAAGAGAGGTTGTGATGTATCCCAATGTGAAATCTTCCGTTTTTACAAGTTACATGCCACTAAAGGAATGTGTGAACCAATTTCAATGATTGTTCCTCGCAAGGTATATTTATATTTTCATGGTGTTTAAGTGACCAATAGTATAAATGTCTTGTATTCTCATATTGTGTGACTTTAATTCAGTTTCTTGAATAGTGTCACTCTGGTGACTACTGGGCCTTAAACCTATTGACTAATAATATTAATGTCAATATTACTTATATTTCAGAGTGATCAGTTTCAAGATGATTTGTACCCTGATACAGCAGCCCCAAGCCCTGCCCTTACAGCTCAAGAATGGATAAGTGGAAAGAATTGTAATCCCATACTTATGTCAATGAAGACAGGTATACCATTTATTTAGTTTCATTATTTCCCCTCGAATGTATTATTTTAAAACATTCTGAGAATATCTTATTTAGTTTATGTATGAATTAAAATATTTAGTCACATAATCTACATATGTGAGGTACGTTAAAACCAGTAGTGTAACAAAATGAGTGCAGGTCCATCCACAATCCTTTTATCCGGGCCCATTTATAAAAGTGAAAAGCAAACACAAGCAGTTTTAGTCTCTTAAATAATAAAAAATTCCTTTAACAAATTCCTATTCATCAGTCTATGATTACTACACAAGAAATCAATGTTACTAACAGATTATACTGATTTAAAAACAGATTTACATAAGTTACTGAAACAGGGAAACAATTGTTGTTTTGGATGATGCTGTTTATAATCTTTTATTGTATCAACTATCGCAAAGTATCCAGTAATTAATAGTTCTTACAATCGTGAAACCATCAGCCTAAAAATAGGTCCCTCTTTTCCTGGGACCTTTCCTGAATTGCGGGCCTTGCAGGCCAGAACATTATGCCACTGATTAAACATTGAGGAATATAATTACATTAGATTCTACAAAATAGTTACTACAATTATAATTTTTTTTATTCAAATTTACTTAAAAAAACATTTAATAGTTCTACAATTTTTTCATGTATTTATTATTTATATTTTAAGCATTTGGAAGAAAAACACCATATATTGAAGAGTTAGTGAAGTGCTTGTTATTTGGTTGCCTAAAATTTCAAATATATGTAGTTAATTTTTTGTCAGTTTCTGTTAAAGTTATTGTGCTTTCAGGCGTAATGGTGAGAACACATAAGCCTAAGGTCTATCAACCTTCTGAAAATATGTCTCTTCCTACTGCTCATGTTAATAACAGCAAAAAGTTTGCATTCTTATCCCAAGAAACTGTTCCAGACTACAGACCTGTGGACGTGAGTACCACCATTGATGTGAGTACATGAATTTTAAATATTGGAATGGTTTTATGGAGAATAATAGGTGATGGTTTATTTTTGTGGTGGTGAACTTACTAACATAGAAAAATTATCTGGTGTTCTTCAGTATTTATTTCTATTTTACTTTTATATGTTTAACCTATCACTATTCTTTATTTCAATTGTTTTCACCTGATTAATTATTTCACCTGAGTTAATTTTTGATATAGGCTACCTCCTTATAAACTCTTCAGAAGCTTATTTGAGTGGACTATGAATGAAGGAAAAAACAATAAACTTTAAATGCAAGAGACATTATATGTCAACAAAGAGTACACTGATAGCACTTTGTAAATTTCTTTTAATGTCTGTTAAGTTTTTCATTTTTATTTAAGTAGACATGTTGATGCAAGGAATTTAAAAACAATCATTTATTTAATTTGTTTTAACTCTTGCATTTTTTTGTTCATATAATCGCACTTTGTGAAATAATAAACATTTTAAATTAAAATTAGTTTTAAATATTAATTTTTGTTGTATTGAAGTTAAAAGTTTTCATGTTAAAAAATTCTAGGGTAGTTGTAAATAAGTATACTGTAAATAAGGATCAGTTTTCTCTGGAGTAAATTTAGAATAGTAGAACAACACAATAGGGTAGGATATCTTTCAGGTGCAGCCAGTTACAGAGAAGAGTCAAAAAACCAGCAGCAACCAAAGCACCAAATTTCTCCAGATTCAACAGATGTGGGCAAGCCAGCAGGTACAGCCGCAGCCACCGCCTATAACCAAGGTTGTTTTGCATGCTATTGCTTCATTGCTACTAATTTGTTGTGCTGGATGCTCTTACAAAAAGTGCTTATTTGACAGTTCCTGTAGCAACATCTTAAGTAATATTTTCTGAGATAATTTCTAAATATTTGTAAATTACATTTGCAATTTCTTTATTTTTAATAGTTACAAAAATAGTAGAGTGGGCACTTTGTTGAAAAAAAAAGAACAATATTTCAACAGAACTTTGTTAATATTTGCAGCAATAAGTATTTCTGAAACTGAGATTTTACATTCCATTGTTAATAGTGTCTTATTTAACATTCTTATGTGTCTGCTAGTGTTTTGTTAGCTTAAAAAGAGAGTTGAAGTGTGTTCTATGCAGTCTGATGTGGAAAATACAATTCACAGTGCTGCTGGTGTATGTATTTCTACTTCAAAATTACAATACAATGGTTGAAAACCATAATTTATTTCAAATTACTCGCATCAACATTTTCACCTCGAGGTTGGAGCAAATGAGTTCTGTTGCTTACATGTGTTAAACAAGAAATCAGTTTGGGTATATACCATTATGTTTTGTTTTTCCTTTTGTGAAAAAGAAACTTCAGCTTTTAGAATGTATTGACAATTAACAAATTGCTTCTTGGAACCTTGTAATCTGTATCTCTTAAGTTTCAATATAGAGCCATGTTAGGTTTGCAAATTATTAGAAGAATGCAGCTCACTGATTTAGGCTTATGAGTGTAATCTGACAACAATCAAGGAGACCATAAATTTATAGAACGAATTGGCATAATTGATGTAGAATAATGTTTTGACGAGTGATGATGCTATCAAGTCCCCATTAGTTTTTTTTTGTGGGAAGAAGCTAATCTGAAAGTAAAAATTGCTCTTTTAACTTTTTGAAAACAAATGAATCAGAATTTTCTATTAGATCATCTGAAATCTGATTAAGATGTTCTTTAAAGTTTTGCATGATTTTCCAAAGTACAACTTGCTCTCACTGGTGTTACGGAAATGAGCACACTTGGTAGGAGGTTAAATCAAATAATAGCACCTGTATTGAATGATGTACAAACAAAACCTTAGAATGAAATCGAAAAAAAATTATCATTAAAGATGTCTATGCTGGATAGAAATCAAGGATATACTTGAAACTTCTGTTTGATATTTTTAACATATAAGTTCCAATTAAAACAGTATATTTCATGATAAATTGTTTGGCTTTAAAACAGCATATTAAAAATTATTTTTAGTCTTTATTAATGATTAAGCTATTAATAACAAAAATGTAAAGTCGTTATTTTCAAAGATTTGCTTATACAGAGTTATGGATTTCTACACAAGCGTCTATGGCTGCACGTCAATATTGTAATGTCACTGAGGTAGGGAAAAACTTTATCTTTAATTTACTTCTGTATTTCTTTAAAATCTGAAACAAAAGTAAGTATACTGCTATTCCCAATACAATACTACTAGTGTGCTGTTACTCAAATATACAAAAAGCTTGTGAATTTTTCTTTTGTCAATGCATTTTCCAAGCAATCCACCACTGATTATGTATTGCCACTCTTTTATTTATGGATTTATGCATTTCATTTTTTAATAAACAAATAATGCATGCAACACTATGTGTATGTATACACCACTTTATGAAAGCAGCACATCTGATCGAACTCATCTTTAAAATAGAAAGAGTGAAAACATTACTAAGAAAATGTCATTGTCTCTTCTCTGCTGTTCTAAGTCCATCATTTTAATTTATAACAAGTTTTAATTTCTGTATTAATTGTAACACCTATCTCAATAGTTTCTGTCTTTTCTGTGTTGTAGACACTGAAGATCTTGGTGTATTACCTTTTGCATGTACAGATGTAGAAATTATATGTACTAAATTATTTAAGGAGAGATGTATGGAAAAATGCAAGACCACTAAAATTAAAATATATTCTATAATTCTGCAAGTAGATTTATTTTTGACACATTAATAAAAGAACAGTTTACAAAAGAAAATGTTAAAAAAAAGGAAATTTATTAAGAATAATACTTCAAAATTTTTAAAGGTTTGAGTTTTCCTTATATGTTTTGGTTTTGGAGCTAACGATACTGAATTTTAAAAGTGACAAACATTTTCAACATCTCGCAGGCACAAAAGAATTGAAATATTACAGAATATGTGTACATAATTTCAGGTCTCTTTTCTGAATAGTTTCTGAGAAAATGGTACCAGATTTATTGAAAATGAAAGTTACAGAAAATTAATGTCAAAAACAAATGATTATTTTTTTTCAATATTACTTACATTAAAATTCACATGGAACATGTCTCCTCATTATCATGTTCTTGAATTTCACCTTTTTTGCTTTTTCACTTTTACTAGAAACAGATTTTCAGGCCTCTTGATGACTTATTTTTTCATCTCTTGCATCCCCAATCCATCTACTTCATTCATATGTAAATTCATCTCTTCTAGACAAAACTGTTTAATCTCTTTTATTCCTCACCAACAACCACTAACACCAAATACATTGCAATAGTCCTTTGATCACCACTCATAAATGGAGTGGGAGAAGAAAGCTAGTGGGCTTCCACAGCACCAACTTTCTCACAGTTTCCAAGTTTTGCAATTTATTAAAATTCAGAGAGTTCAATGAATACTATTTTTAAGCTTCCATTGCTTTGCCAACAGATAAAATTTAAATAAAAAATTCAGAGCGGTTTTGGGAATTAATTTTTTTTATAAACTGTGTGAACTTCGAGCAAAAAATTACACAAAAACAATCTATATATATATATATATATATATTATTTAATATATATTATATATATAATATATATATTAATATACTATAAAAGAAGAAAAATATATGAAACTTATTTCAAAGATTGACTTTGAACTCAGATTTCATTAAGGATAAAAATCTCTATCCTCAATGATTTAATTGTAGAAAAATGCCGAAAAATTGTGAACTTTTGCAATTTTCGAAAATTCTGGAATTTGTACAAAAATGTGCCCATTTCATTAAAGCCTCCTTTATAATCACCAAGTATGAAGTTTATTAAAAAAATTGACCCATTTTTGTGAAAAGTTTGAGAATGTTCAGCCTTCATGTAAAATACCTCCAACATTTAAAATATCCCTTTCAAACTCGCAGAGCCTCCAGTTATTCAAGTTCACTTGTAGAAAATTTTTCAACAGTTCAGGCATTAGCATTGACAACAGATGGACAGACTGAGATGTTTTGCTATCAATCATATTTACAATATCAAGGACCTGCAAAATATGGATTGTGACTAACGAAATATTAGAGGATATAAGGTACTATCCATAAATTACAGAACTCAGTCATGCAAATTCAACGCAAATTACAAATACGCTACATAATACAAATTTGGAGAAGTTTGAATTCCTCCTGACCTCTCTGTTACCCTTGCTTCAATCCAATCCCCCAAATTAATTGTGTCCCCCATTAATTAATCTAATCCCCCATTTACAATTACTAAAAATAAATTATATAACAGCAAAAACAATTTGTAGTAATTTTATTTGAATTTTATATTAAAATATAAAATTGAAGTCTGTGGCGATGCTAATTGCACCTAACAATGAGTAATCGAAAGGATACATAGGCAAGAAAATTTCAGACAAGCCGTGCCCATGCCGGAGTGGATGATGTGTGGGGGGAATTTACTGTGCCAATTTAATTGGATTCTGAATACTATAGATCGGTTTTGAATATTCATCTTCGAAATCTAAGAGATTGAATTTCTACCTTTGATGAAGAAATATTTCCATATTTGGTCACAATTTATACGTAATTATTTTTTTAGTTTGTTAATATTATAAGTTATAAAAAGGAGAAAAAAATTATTTCTACAAATGACGAAGAAAAAATAATAATAGTAAATTATGTAACACTAAAATAACCCTACCCCTATGTAGAGCATTTGTTGTTTGTTTTTTTTTTTGGCTCATTGTAAACACGGAAATGAATTGACCTTTGTCCCTTATTGTTAACTGTTGTTTCACCAAAGGTTCACACAACATCAAACACTAGTTATGAGTCTACTTTTGCATTGAGCATACTGCAATTAAAACGTAATCATTTGTTTCTAGTCTTCTGGAGTATGTGTTCTAATTATTCTTGTATTACCACGTGGCACTTTTAAACAAAACAATATTATTCTAACATTGATAAATCTATAGATCTTGATATATACTTTCCATTTTTTATCTATTAGAATAGCTACACTACAAGCGTTCGTGTTCTGAGTGACCCCAGTCCACAACTTAACCATATCTCTCTAATATCTGAGGTTCCACAAAGTTTCTTTTTTGTCTCTAGTAGTACAGCAATATTAATTTTGTTTCTGATCATAACTTCTATTATTTCTTCTTATTTTGTATGCAGTCCTCGGACATTCCAAGTCATTATATTAAAATTCTCAATAATCCCACTTAAAAAGTATAAATAAAACATAAGTAAAGAATGAAAAAAGCACGAAGTTAAAAAATAAAAAAATAAAAAAAGCGAAAGATAGTGAAGTTCTAAGCAGGCATTTCCAAGGACAAGCAAGGCCTTCCAGAAGGAAGCGTCACATAAAAATTTGCCAAATGGCCCCGAAAACTGTTAATATTCTTTATAAGATACCAAACAAAATGCATTTTTTAAAATGTTTTTCCATAGGTCTCTTCTTAAAGAAATTTTAATTGTGTACATATGGCTTGTAACATAGTCACACTTAATGCTTCAAACTTTATTCTTGATTAATACAAACGTCTTTTTACTATTGAAATATGTGATATTTTTTCATTTATTGTACAGAATATTTTTCTCCCATTTCAAATGAATGCCATAGTTTCTCTAGTCTTCAGGAGTGAGAAATATTGTACTGTTTTTATTTCTTAGCCCACGAAGATTGGCAGTGAGATAAAGTAATAGATTTACAATTTTTTTTCTTAAATTAAAATATTTATTTTTTTGCTTTAATATTTTGAATCACTTCTCAAAATGCGTGCACTTTAAATCCTTTATATGCTTGACTGCTTTACAAGAGTTTATAATAATGGGTGGAAATCAATAATATTTTCAAAGCATGATAAGATATCCCAAAAATGTTTCGTTTTGTGTTTGAAATTTACACACAATTTGCTAATTAATATGAACGCAATGAAGTGTGTTAAGTTTTCTCGAGCAACAACCTATATTAATTTATCATCAATAAAAAGTTAATTTGACGACTTGAATAATATTGTGTACAATGTCAATTTATAATATTCATTAGTACATTTCAGTATAATATGAAAATGAAAGTAAGTCATTTCTTTTTTTTCTTACAGACAAATATTTTATCAAGTGAATGTAACAAAGGTTCCTCTTTCTCAAATGAGAGGGAGGAACTGCAGGAAGATAGTCCAAAGACAGAGTACCAAGTAAGTTCCTCTTAATGTTACTTTCCTACATATTGCTTTTGTATGGAGAACAGCCTTAATAATATTATAGAAGACTGAAATATAGTGCTATATGCAAATTTTTGTTGCAAAATTCGCAGCCATTTTTGAGAAAATGTCATTTGAGCATTCCTGAAATGCGCAATTTTTAGTTCATTTCCCAGAAAACATTTCAGTTTTCTACAACTCATTGAAAATCACTTGAAGTACTCCTCACAAATGCAATTCTGTATAAAAACTACCAGTAATGAAAATATTAACAATACGTGTGGTTTGACGAAGGACCACTAGATGGAGTGGTATGATTGTTGGAAGAAATTTAGCTACACATGAGCACAGATTGAAAATTTATAAGAAAGATGTATTGTAATTGAAGTAAGTGGTGTAAATAGAAGCGGTAGTGGTAGCACTATCCATACAATAAGTATAAAGAAACCACATAGAGCTGGCCTGAGACACATGGCCTGACTGACCAGTTCGCCCGCCCGCCCACCCGCTCGCTCGCCTGTTCGCCCTTTAGTTTTTAATGTTGAAGTGCCAATTAATCAGAAGTACAAATAATTCCTCATTAATCAGGAAAGAGGGTGCACTATTTAGGTTATAGTATAATTTTAGAATATAGTGCACAGAATATGTTTCATCCCTGTTAATTTGAATCCTGAAAAAAATGAATTTTTAATAGGCACACAATGTAGAACCAGTTATTAAAAATTAACTAAAACATCTTGAAAATAGCTCCAAATTTTTTTCTTTAAACTTTTGGTAGAGATAGTGCTAAATGTATTCCATAAATTGACATAAACGCCATATTGCTCTATTCTTTAGTTTTTTCAAAAATTACAAAAATGAAATTGTATCTCTGGTCTCTAATGTCATTAATATTGACTTGTCTGTGAAAATGAGCTCAAAATTACCCATTTTCAAAAATTTCTCAAACGCCATTTTCTCAAAAATGGCTCCAAAGTTTTTGTTCAAACTTTTCCAACTGTTAATGCTAATTGCACTGTTTAATAAGACACAGTTAATTTTGGTGTTTTTTAAATTACCCTAATGTAATTTTTTGAAATATCCTTCATGCCGTTAATACTCACATTTCCAGCTCTTTGTATACAGAATTGCATTTGTGAGTGCAAGTGCTTCCAATGAAGTTTTCCAAGACTTCCAATGAAGTTTTTCGAAAACTCTCTTTTTCTGAGAAAAAGTTTAAATTTCACTTTTACAATAACACTTAAACATCATTTCAAACTGGCTCCAAATTTTTCAATGAAAATGGCAATTTGGGAACAGGTTAACTAGTCTTTAATATTCATAAGGGGCTAGATGTACCTTAAAACCTTAATATATTCTATTTTTAGAAACAATTTTTTTCTGTGCATTAATTATTTAGGGATATTTGGGTTAAAAAAAAAACATGGATATCTGCAATAGTTTTTGAGTTATGATTTAAAAGGTATGTCACTGCATTATGCATCTATTAGAGTAGTAAGGTAAGCAAAACGCATGCATCATCCTTGTCGATGTTTTTCCAGAATTAGTTTTTATACCTCATTATAAATAAAAAAAATCATGTTAAAGCTATGGACTTTTAGGATGCATGTAATACTATTATCTACAAAACAATGCTAAATTATACACTTCAATTTAATAGTTTTTGTGGTAAAAAAATTATGAAACTGAAAAAAACTATTAATAATTAATATATATTAATTTTGGATTAAAATTAAAAATTTTATTTATACAGGTATGTAATTGAAAGCATTGTTTTGTACCTGTGAGTATTTTCTACAAATCAAAAGAAAAAAATGGTAAAAGTCTTCAAAATTACACAAATTATCTGGTAACACGAATCCAATACATTAAAAAGTAGTTAGATTTTGATTTTTAATAAAAAAATTTAAAAAAATAATAATGAAAAGTTAAAAGCAACTTTTTCCTTGCAGAAGAAATGTTCTCAGAATGTCAGTTCATTTTCACTGTTGTGGAGTATGATTTTAATGGAGAAAAAAAGTAGAAAAATGGTAAAAATTTAACTGCTGTAGGCTGTATCTACTCCCTTAAAGTAATATTTCGGTTCTACAATTAAGTTACAGAAAAACTGAGGGGGAAAAAAGTTCTTTGAGTGGCATTTGACGACACCTAATAAGAGTATGTGGCTAGTACAAATGGACTCAGACCGAGGAAAATAGAAAACTAACACAGGGAGAGGGAGAGGAGGAGGCACAAATCGTTTGAAGATTTCCACCTTATTCTTGTAAAAACACACACAGACAGAATGAAAGAGAGACTCACAGAGAATGACATTGTGCCATCATTCAATTTTCGACACCCACAAATCATGTATTCTACCTACTCCACATGTTAGAAGATTTTTTTTTTACAAATTTAGAAAACGATATATTAATTTTTTTGCTACCAGTGCCCTGTAATAGAGATTTTCCGATAAAAATCTGCCATTTTTTTGGTGTACCATTACATAACTTTTTCTTTATTGTGAGAAAATAAAAAATACTTTCACCAACAGGGGATACCAGAATGTGTATCTCAAAATCGATTTTTCTGCACGCATACCCTCAAATGACATTTTCTCAAACACCACTTAAATTTTTCTGTGCAAATATGCATAGCCAGATATGCACCAGATTTTATTCCTCTATAATATTTTTGAAGTCTTTATTTCTATTCTACTATTAGAGATCCAAAAAATTCAGAATGCGTGAAAAAATGTATTTTAGGTGCCAATTCATGGCAGCTGAGAAGAGGGTGAGGCAAAATTGAATAGATAGTTCACAGAATTTGTTAGTTGCTTTCTGTGAAATTGATCATACCCAAAAATTATACTTAATTTATTATTAAATAATATAATTTGGTAATAAGGAAATTAATACAATAAACAAGATAAGGAAACTAACTGATGAGAAAGTCTGCCATTCTGTAGTTGGGTTTGTGTTCTAGAGTGACATCATGACATCTCGCCCTAAGGTTAAATCATTTAAATAAACAATTTTACTTTGCTGTTTGTGTAAACAATTTTAATTCACGGAATCTTTTATTATTACAGGTAGGAATATTGAGTTCACTGATAGAACATTGTAATTAGTCATAGTAGCCTAATAGGCTTGCATTGCAAAGGAAGGTACTTTGGCTTCAATTAATTTTCACGTATTTAATATTAACATTATTATTAAGTCCTTACAATCCCTTTCAGGCAAAAGCCTCTTAAAAGTCAAGGATAGCTTCTGAGTAAACAACAGAGAAGTCACTTCCTTTGCCAAATTATTATATTTTGCACAATTTCTTAAGAAAATGTTATTGCCAGGGTTTGTGTTTTCTTTCAAAAGTTCTTGAATGTTTTGTTTCAGTTACAATAATGAACACTTCAAATCTTTTTCATCGTCCAGCCATGCTTGATATTTTGACTTTGTATAAATTAGCAAAGTTCATTCGGATTCACAAACATAAAAAAACGCACAACTCAACAGTAGCTTTCATAGCATGTTGTAGATATACATTTGAAGTTGATAGCATACTTCTGAAGAGAATCAAGAAGCATGTTAATTTTAATTTTAACTGACGTCCCATTTGAAATTATCAGGCATCTAAAGAAATATCTAGAAACTATAGTTCCATTTCATCTTTCAAGGACACCAAATATTCTGAAATGAACACCTTCAATTCACTTTTCAAATCATTGCAAAGGTTTCTCAGCAAGATCATTGAAACAGGGAAGAATGGAGTGTAAAGTTCAGAATTGTTTGACTAATGTATGTTTTTGTCTCTTGACAAACCTCTGTTGAGAACACCTTGTTTATTGTATTAATTTCCTTATTACCAAATTATATTATTTAATAATAAATTAAGTATAATTTTTGGGTATGATCGATTTCACAGAAAGCAACTAACAAATTCTGTGAACTATCGAAGGAACAGTAATTTGGAATCATAAATTCTAATGTGTTCAGAATATATTATGAAAAATATTTTTTAACATGTAAAAAATTAATATAATAATTTTTTAAGATGCTGAATATAATAAATTAGATTTTACATGAATTATTTTATGGTAGGTGAACAATTTGTTTGCATTATTTACAGTTGCAGAGAGCATACTCACGTCAATGTGAAGAACTGAAGTTATTGCGTAGACAACTTACCAATCGGGAAAGGCGCATCTTGGAATTGGAAGAGCAGGTGATTAAACTGCAACAGCAGCTGAAGGAAGCTAAGCGACAGCACAAATAAATATTTTTAAAAAAATGTTGGTTAGTACACCAGCTTGATCCATATAATTTCAGAAGCAGGCACTGGTAAAATGGTGATACTTGTATTACGATTATTACTGGGTGACAGAATTTTCAATTTGAGCTTATTGTGTAGCTTATTATATTCTTGGTTGCATTCCTGGAAAGAGAACGACTTATCGTTAAGGGTAACCCAGGCCCCGTTTGCATCTCAAGATTTTTCCCAAGTTTTCATTTTTTGCCTGAAATATATGCATTTACACTCTTGTGAATGCTTTTCTGAGTTATACCTTAATAGAAACACATGTGCTATATTAGCGCCTTTATTATGCATATCACATTGCAGCTCTTTAAAGTGTGAAGCATTCATTTGTGATGTTTCGTCGTGCCACTGAGGTTAGGGTCTTTCAGTATTATGACAGTGAAACTAGATATTTCTGATAACGCACTATTGAATTTTCTGTATCTGTACTTAATGCATTATAATGCAAGATTTTACCTCATATTAACCAAATAAAGTGCATTTATTTTGCTTGGAAAGGAATAGTTTCAGCTAATATGTAAAGAAGAGAGCAACTCTCCAAAGATTTTATTTGTGAAGAAATAAAACCACTTTACTAAAAGAAAGAATATTTCCAACTCCAGTGTGTGAAAGGCAAATTATTCTGTGGGTGTATTGATGGATATGATACTAAAGAAGTTGATATCAAGAAATGTGTGGGTTATCCATTTATCTTTATTGCTTGTAATGCATCTTAAGTGCACTGCGGTAAAGCACAATAATTTTTAAATGTAGAGATTGTATGGCCTCTAATGTAATGTTTATTGAATAATCTGCAATTGATGTAGAACTGAAAAGCTGGAGTAAACTTTTTCACAGCTAAGCATAATGAATATATTGGTACATGTATTTGCATTATTTCTTAAGTTGTGTAAACTGTGTTTTACTTTAATACATTTCCACTCTTGTGGAAATAAGTACATTTCTCACTATTGGCAGTTATGTATGGTAGTATGAGATAAGTGGATAAACCAATGTGGCACTTTTCTGAATTCCTGGAATTTTGTAAGTAGTTATTGGATAACTCTGTGAATACTTTGTCAAAGATTGGTTCTTAAGTATTAGTTTGGTTAACTAATGCAAATATTGAAATGAAAGGTTTTCTTCTGTATACAACAAAAAGAATCTGTGATCATTGAGGAATATCAGAGAGAAGTATTTTGAGACTGCAGAGTAAATATGAAAAGGCATGTGCATTGAATAGTGGTCTTCGTTTGCTGCTTTCAAAAAAGCATTTTATAATGTGATATTTTTTGTGTGTGTTAAAATTTACGGCAAGTGAACATGTGTAAAAGCTTTTGATACAGTACTTAGACATTTAATCTTATCACTACTAAAGCATTCATTTGTGGTAATTTTTTTTTTTGCTAACTGAAGTAACGATTTTTGCCAAACGAAATCTTTAATCATTTAGGAGCTGATTCTCCATTTTGTGGTGGAAATGCTCACATAACTCTAAACCAGCAACAGATTGCTGGAAAGCATTTGTATATCTTTCAAATTATTCCATGAAGCTGTATCTTGCATCATTATCATTATGCGGATGAGATTTGGCGTTGTTGCTAAGCAGACTTTGTATACTGGTGTGCTTTTGCTTAGCAAGCTGTGGGTGAAAGATAGACTGCTTCTTTGTGGTTGGGAGGTTCATTGCTTGTTCAAACTTTGTTGTTGCTAGTGGGTTGCTAAATGTCTACCAGACAGGGACCAATCCAACGGGGTGAAACTTGCACAACATTGGTAACTGCACTCGTTATCAAGTTGACACAACTCCCACAAAGCTTGTTCATAGTGTGTTTCATGGATGTGATGGTGTTATTGTGCCTGTTATGATACATGATTTACTGTGCAGAGCTTGCCTAATTTATAACTATACTTTACATGCTTTATATTATAAGCATGTGAGTAGTTTTTATTTTATGTGAATATTGTAAATCAACCATTAGTGGATCCAAAGAGTGGTGTATCCCCTTCTTCCCCTCCTCTTTGAGGATATTTTGAGAAATTACGTTCAATTGGAAATGCATACTTTTATGCATCCTTTCTTTTCAAAGTGATCTAAGTGCTCTAAAAACAAAATTTGTTTTCTATTGAAAATGATTTAAACAGCATTGCTAGCACTCTACGACAATACACCCCATTCAGAAAGCTTTATTATAAACTGCTTTGACAAGCATTGCTTAGATATATTAGCAGTGTAATGGCCCTGGTATGTTCTTCACAAAACAAGAGGAAAAAAAAAAGACTTTGAACTTTAGGCACCTACGTCACTTAGAAAAAGAAGGGTTCATAGATGTATTTTCCAATATATTTCAACTAGACAAATATTACTCTTATTTGAAAATTCAAATTCTAATTAGTTTTCAGGAAAATTCCAGCCAATTCTGGTTTATTTATATTTGGATCTAGGGTTGATATCCACCTACACGAGACATATACTATTTTTCTTCATGGAAAATGTATCACACTGCTACAGCAAACAAAATTCTTCTTTTTTATTTTTTGTCATATATCAGAATGTGCTAATTTTTACTACGTTTTGTAATGGTATATAATATGTGTTTGTCTTGTGTGTTATATACATATTTAATATTTTATTGTGTAATAAAATGTTATTAATTTGTTTACTGAATTTTTATACAAAAGTTTGATCATGTATTTTAAAATGGCCGAGGCATTTGCTTTGCTGAAAAATACTGTGCAGCTGTCATGTAGCAGTGCTCTTAAATAAAAGCTTTATTATTGAAATATGGTACATTTTGTGAAAGTCTATACCCATATCCTAATTAAAAATCAAAGTCAGTGTCACAATTCCTTCTATTGAAATATTGCATCACTTCTGCAATCCATTATCATTTAATATTACTTAAGTGTTTGGGTCATCAACACTATCACCTTTATTAATGTTTTTTATTAATTTATTTTCATAAGGGTTGTTCAAAACCAAAAACTTTCGTTTGCTTCTTAATCTTGCTTCCACAGCCAGTGCTATTGAAGGACACCAATAAAAACCAGCATCCGTGAGTTTAAAATCCACTAGGGATTTGGAACCTGTAATAATAAACTGGAGATAGAGTGTGCTAATGTTTAATGTGAGCATTGATGTATTATTAAACGCAAAACTGACCCTCGAGTATTAAAGACGTGGCTTCCACCTGCTCCCAGAGAGATTCTAATCTCCTCCTGCTATCGCGCTCTTGTTTACCCAGTTGCCAAAAACTAATCAAACGTAGTATTTCATGGTTTTCGTTGGATAGTGCGAAGGTATGATATTTGCCCTCTTTATTCTTCTTTCTCCACCTGCAACGTTAATTGATTAATACTGTTTACGTTTCCTTAAAAACTCTTATAACGCACAAAACTTTTTCAAAACTATTACATTTCAATATATCTATTTATTCTCTCTCGTCGTTCATTGGGAATTTCATTCCATAAAGATGATTGTAATTGCTGCCACTTCTTGTACCACCAACGTCGTAAAGCACGTTGGATGACAATTGCTGCTTCATGCTTCTTAATGCTCACAGTGTATTTGTACAAATGGTATTTTTGGCGAGCGTGATATGTACGCCATACAGTTTGTATTTTAATAGCGGCTCTATTTTTCACGTCATCGAAATGTGAATTACAACCTGGTTATAAGTAAAACGTGATTTTTAAGTCAATCAATATATGCATTAAAGGCAAGTACTTGCAATTACATGAACCAAAAAAGCTATCTTATTACTATGAACAGCACAATGTTTTAAGAAAAGTGAAATAAGTGAACGACGAGATAAGTAACTTACTTGTCGACATTATCCAAATGCGAAATTTAACGCTGAAGGATATGAACATGAATTAATTCAATTAAAATCCTACTCTTGCGTCGGAACTACTCTCATTTGTCCTTAGTTAATTGAAATCTCATCTTGATGTATTGTGATTGATCCAACTTGCTGAGGGCGTTTGCTTAACCTTATATAAAATAATTTCAATAAGCACTAAAGTGCTAAACTGTTATAACATAACATGGTGGTAAATTTTGGTGGACAATTTTCAAGTTGGTGGAGGCTTATTGATTTTTTTTAAAAAAAGTATGTAAGAGTCGATCTTTCTGAATATGCCATTAAGATAAAGGAAACATTACTTTCCCTCTTAAGCACTAATAATATAATGTTTTCTTTGTGATACGCATTTCATTTACTCTGATTCATGACTGCAATCCTTCAAAACAGCTGTAGACTGCAGTTCACAGCCAATGAGGGACAATTTCAGAGGTCACATGATCTTGATCTGTAATGTGTGTAGGAATGCCTTGTCATCGACGATTTAATTGTGGCGTTTACATTGTTTAGTTATTATTTTTGTAAGTAAGAGTGGAGTTCAATATTGCGATAGTTCAGCGTATCTTTTCTACTGATGTTGAAGACGACTGAGTATTGATTAACCGTGTCGTTTTCGTAGGTAGGTTTCCTCCCATGTTAAGTCGCCATTTTCTTGTGCCATCAGTATCTTGATTGGTTAGTACTACTGCTGGGGAGCTGAGTTCATTTATAATACAGAATATTTCAATAATTTTAGTAAGTGCTAATGAAATAATATTTTTTTGCTTTATTTATACTTTGGTTTATTGCGTATATTAGATATATTTTGCTTTTCCCTTTGCACACCAATCGTGTAATGTAGTGCTTGGTGTTGCCTGTGTATGACAGCGATAATTGTGTAGTTTTGTGTCGTGTGTACTGTGTATATAGGGCGTATTGCCTTGAGAATTCTCAAAATTCATTATGAAATGACGAAGTTTCTGCACGTTTTCTTCTTGTGTTCGTGGACTTATAGCAAGGTCTATATAATAGAGGGTATAGCAGTATTATAGTTCATGGTTTTGTAAGTTGTGTAGATAGTATATTTAAAACAACATAATTTAAATACTATTGTTGTCATCTAAATGTTTGTCCTGTGTACCGGGATTTGTAAATTGTTGATAGTAATGCATGCTGAGTACTTTTAATTTCTACCATGATTATGTTGTGTTTATGGATTTTATTTTGTATCAGTATTGTGCATCACGAAGTGAAAAACAATTTTAGTCAATGGAAGTTTGTTCAACTTTTCAGGCATTGCAGTGGAATGTCTCCAGAGGGGCAATAGTGCAAATGATGTCCTCTTGTCTTTCTCTTCGCATTTTGTGCTTCCTGCCATCTGTAGTCTGCGCTAGGGCATGGTAAGCAATTATTGACTGTTCATCCACTGGCTTGTGCATAGCACAGAGTTTTTAAAAATTTTTTCTCATGTTCACTTTGCTTTTGCCAGGGCATGGCAGGCATGTAAGAGTTAGCTTTGAGAGACAGCTCCTGATTGTTCACATGCTTGAGTCATTTATGGTTTGCTCATTTACTGAATCACTTTTATTTTTTAGGACACCATCTTTTATATAGCTTTGAATGGTGTTGATCAATGTTTCTATAATGGCTGTTATGTGTTGTTTTACATGATTGCTTAGCCCTTGTTAGCATTGTGAACGGTGAAAGAAATCAATTGTGTGTTTGGTCATTGTGATTTATGGATGGAATAATTTTATGTTGACTTGTTATGTATTCCATGTTATGTAAATACATGAAAAATAATTAAAATTTAAGATTTTTTTGTAACGGAGGTGGACTGTGAAGAGTTACTGTTGAACGTTGGATTGCAAGTACTTACAACAAACAATTTTCCTTAGTGATATTGGATTATATAATGTAATAGATTATCAATGGTAATCAAAATAAGATTTTTGGTTGACACATTAATTTTAAAAAAATAAAATGATTGGACTTCAACTTCTGTGTGGTGGAGGATTTTTGAAAGAGCAGAATTGTAACATAACAAGCAGGAACATAGAATTCCTTATAGCTATTACCTCATTCACTGAGGTGCGAATGTTTTGGAGAAAAGTATTCTTTCAAGAAAAGAAGTATGCTTATTAATGTGAGTTTGCCTGTGATTCTTTATTACAAATAAACGTAACTGGATTTCAAGTGTAGTACTTTAATAGGAAATGAACTCCATAGTTGACTGCATGTATATGTTTGCAAGGACGAACACAAGAAAACAACAAAGAAAAGCTACATAGCAGAATGACACCATGTAATGTTATTACACTAAAATATTTATTGAAAATTGATGTTTGAATTTCAACTTGATTTCAAAAGTCGAAAATGTGTACTTCGAATGGAGAAGAATTTTCATATGCCTTTGTATGAGCGGAGGCCTTATTTGGATTACAAGAAATGGAAAACAATCGTATTTCCCATTAAAGCAGTGTGATGAATTTTTTTTTTTTTAGAAATATTCCGTCGAATAATTGTATGCTTAACGTGGACTAGTCTGAAGCTCTAAATTATAACAACCCGACTATATCCGGGTCACTCGGCAGTCTTCGTGTACTTACGGTAGATTTCGGGTTGGCTACCTTGCTGCCATCTGCAATCCTTAGCCAGTCGAGAGTTGAGCGCCATACGTGTAGGTAGTGGATATTGTGCGGCCGTGGGTAATACAAATTCGCCACCGAAGCGGTTTAGTGGTGTCTGCCGAATGTTGGTTGAGCTATAGTAAACCCCACACACCAGCTACTTAACGCATTAGTTTGACGAGCACCCGTCATGTGCAGTGTGCAGCGTGGAGTTCCAGAGGTCAGCTGACGTCCGCCACACCCCGCATCGACTGCCAGTGCGTGTGCCACCGATCCGTTCAACAAGGCTCGCAATCGTCTCCGGTGTTTCAAGACGTCGCTTGAGTTTCCCGTAAGGATTTTATGTTTCTGACTCCTCATGTCGTTCGTGTGCTGTGTTGTGCGTGGACTGCCCACGTTACGTTGTTTTTGTGTGAATGATGGCCCATCGCTTATTTTCGTCACCTAGCGTTCTGCGTTACGTAAGTTTAGTCTTCAGACGTAAGATGGCGGAATTTTGTCACATGATGTGAAATGGCATTGTCTTTGATCCCCGCAGGAATAAATTGGTGGTGTAGAATGCTTGTGCAAGTGAACTAGTTAGTCAGTGTGCGGAGGAGTCCTATGCGATCCCCCTCAGAGTACGCTTGGCATCGCGACTCCCCCCAGCACTCTCGGTGTCTTGTTTCAGAGTCGGGAAAGCTGGATATGAATATTGCGTTTTTAAGGTTTGTGTCTGGGAAGGGGTTTGGACAACAGTTGCTCTTTCGGAAAAGGACTATACCTAACCTGAGTTGGCACAAAATTTAGTTTTTGTGAAAGAATGAAATATTCCTTGTTCCTGTCGGAGTTTTCCTTGTTCTATCTTTTCCTTTTCAAGAACCTTGCGTCGTATTTACGACTAAAACTAACTTTTATTTAATGGTGAACCTTTTTAGCGAAGAGATCCCAATTTCTCACCGGTACAAGGTGACAAAAAGTTCCATAGGAGTTTGGTAAATGTGTGAAATGGCGTTTGAGCAGAGATTGTATCAGGCAATGCAGTAATAAAAAATGAGCAGTGGAACATTTTAATCAAGAAAACCTGGTAGAATTTTTCAACGCTTTCCTTGAACGTTAATTTATTTTGAGAGCTTGGGACGTATCCCAAGGGCCTCCAAAACATTCAAAAGTTATCCATTCGGATAATCGTGAAGAAGACGGATTTAATTATTTTATAAAACGGCCTGCACTTAAAAGGCATACAGAATTATAGGGAGTACATTTTGGAAATGTGATATGCAAAAGTTAGAATTGTTTTGGAACAATGAACTGGCTGAATTAGGTTATGTATGTAGAACTTAAGCAATATTAATATAATATGACTACACATTATGCGACACTGCATTATAATACAGTGAAAAATTCACCGAAACATCGCATGTGAAAAAGAGCATAATTATAATCTCTCAATAAATTCGAACTAGTTTCATCTATTAGTGAAAGTGATGAGTTAAGAAGTGCTCTATCATCCTGATGTATTCTCACCCACGGCTGTTACTGTGAAGCATAGGGGAAAGGGGTGGTGGTTGCACCCACCGGCACGGACACGGCGCGCCGCTTCCTCGTGGAAAGCGTTTGCGGAGATACGCGGAGCAGTCTCCGCTGGAGGCCCATCGCGCCCCCTCCCCACGCGTCTCGTCGACATGCCGCTCTTTTAGAAACTGTTATTCCGAGGCCGCGTGTAATTAATGCCAGAAAGTTCGGACGAATTTCCCATTCGCATGGCGTGGCCCACGCTGGCGATGACGCCGTCGCCTAGTGTTACGACAGATATCGACGGAGTGGGGTTCGTTGCGGAAGGAATTCGGCGCATGCGTTGACTGGTCTGTCGAGCTGAGAGGGTGCTGTAAGTGCAGAGTGAATTGTGGGGAGTGCAGTGTGCTGTAGGTTGCTTCCGCAAAGACAGTCTTGGTGTCTTGCAAGTTAAATGACTTGAGAGATTTGTCATGCGATTTTTTGCTATTTGAAACAAAATAGATTATTGCTTTTCCTGTGGGTTTGTGAAGACTGATTTGCCCCTTAGATTTCGTTTTCAGAGTTAGAAATCAGTTTAATTTGGAGAAGTTACACTAAAGTTTGAATTAGGTTATGCATCTATACGTTATGCAATGTTACACTTTTATGCTCATGTCATGCTCAGCTAATGAGCATATATTGCAAAGTCCACCGAAACATTGATAGTACTTTCCTTAATGAGCAGCATTGAGAATCAAAAACAAGTCTGGGGCAATTAGACTATAAAACCGTGACGTTTTGTGGATTAAGTAGATTTATAAAAATTGGGTTCAATAAGATTCGTATAATGCAAATCGAAAAGTGTTATTCAGTTTATTGTGGTGCAATGGCTGCTAAATATTCAATCTCGTAAACACAAGTGATATGTATGAAATTACCATTGAGGCCTGTACAAATGGCAACAAGCGAAATAACCAACCGTTTCAAAATTCCAAATGCATAGTTCGGACTTGATTTAGTTTAGTCTATTTAGTTTATTAATGCACATGAAATGATGTGAACGTTTTGGTACGCAGTTACAAGAAATTGGCCAATACAATATTTCAGGAAGTAATTATTAGTGAAAAATAGAAGTCAGTTTGTGAAGGAAATGCTAGTCGTAGTTTTGCTTCATGCTGAAATGCGACAAATAGATTGGCTAGGAACTTAGGGTTTCACAAAGCAGACGACAATGTACGGGTTTCAGGGATATTGGCTCAGTTTCTAGAAAGCATAAACGGATAGGAAGGAAAACAATCATTAGAAGATATTTTGTGTA